TTTAATCTATTTAATATTCTCCACCTACCTTTTCCGTTATTTTTCATTATTTTATATTTAAAAAGTCTTATTCTTTTCCTTCTTCCTTCTTTTCGACTTTTTTTCTCTCTCTTTCTACAATTTCTTTAAAATATTTCCTTTAACTATATTTAAATCATCATCTCATAGTCTACCATATTTTCTCTTTAACTTTCCCTAATTTCTCAAACCATCCTCTAATATTTCGACATTCCTTTGGGATTATTATACGTATGGGCCATTCCACGTGAAGCGGATCAGTCATCTCTCAGAAATTTTTTAAATTTTGCACAAAGGTAGTACTTTGGGAGATAAAATTTTGTGCCAAAGGATTTTTTTCTTATTGCAAAATTAATCGAGATATAAACAATTAAAAATTAGGCTACTTTATTTTTCAAAAATTTATAGCTCTTACTAATAATGCTAGCTAACTGCTTTTTTTTTTAAAATACGCGAAAAATGTTCTAGTTTACGGGAAAAAAATGAAGATTCCAAAAATATTTTGTTTTCCACGGTTTATTTAACTATAAACTTTTCAACAATTTTTTTAACAATCGGGGAGAGAGTCGAAAAATCTGAAAAAATATTTTTTATATACTTTCAGTTTTCTTACATCTTAGAAAAAAAACTCAAGAACGTGTTTTGCCTCGTTTTCGAGAAAAAAATTTTTTTAGTTCTTCATGTGGGGAAAATCCGTCGACTCTCAGCGTGCGACTCTTACAAAACAGCCAAACTTACAAAATATCCTTACCATACTGCTAGTATGTTGTTCGCAGCCGCTGTTTTGTATTAACTGGAAAGTGAATACTTTATAAAATCGACTTTACAATATTTAACTCTCCAAACAATTTTATTATTTATTCCGATGATTTCGACTTCTCGCTTGCGTTTTTTTTATTACAGTCTGCTGTACAGTAAATACCTAATCTTGCGCTATAATTATTATCAAGTATTTTGTTGCATTATAATTATATTATGTAATTATATTTTGTTGTATTATAATTATATTATAATACA